CCCACGTCCTCGGGAGAGGTCACCTGGGGGGGAGGGGCTGCACCTGTACCTGCTCACATGGGGTCACCTGGGGGGGAGGGGACCCCAGGGGAGGGGGGGGGTCACCACTGGGGTCACGGCTGGGTCACGGCTGCTGGGGCTGAGGTGGGAGGGGTCGGGGTCACTGGGGTGACATCGGTGGGGTCAGGGTGGATGTCACTCCTGGGGTCAAGGTGGCCCCGGATCGAGGGGGGGCTCAAGGAACCCCCACCTGCTCAGGTGAGGTCACCCGGGGACAAGGGGCCTGTCCCAGGGGGTGTCACAGGAGGGGGGGGTGGGATGTCACCACCGAGGTCAAGGTGACCCCCAGTTCTCAGTCAAGGCCACGCTGGCCCCATTTTTCGGGGGGCTCGGGCTGGTCCCCCCTCCTTGGCCAAGGCCACCTGTGGGGTGAAGGGCGCTCCACACCGAGGTGTGCCGGCACCCGGGGGGCTCAGCAGCGGGCTGGGGGTGACCCCACGCTCGGCGCTGCTGATGCCACCGGCTGGCCCCGATGTCCCCGGCCCGGTGCAGCCCCCCCGGTGCTCACATCGGCCGCGGCGAAGGCGCAGTGCTCCCCCAGCTCCCGGGCGAGCTGAGCCCCGCCGGACGCGGGCAGGTCCAGCAGCACCACCCGAGCCCCGCGCTGCAGCAGCCGCTCCACCGTGGCCCGGCCCAGCCCGGAGCCGCCGCCGGTCACCAGCGCCACCAGGCCCTGCCCAGGGGGACACGGAGGGGTCAGCGGGGACGGGAGACCCCCGCACACACCCCCGGGGACCGGGGGGGAACCCCGGTACCTTCACGCTGCGAATCGCCGCCATCGCCGCCGTCCGGCCAATGGCTGCGGGGGGAGGAACCGGGGAGGGACCGGGAGGGACCGGGGGGAGAGGGGAGGGACCGGGGAATCACCGGGGAATCACCGGGAGACACCGGGGGCGGGACCGGGGGATACCGGGGGGGGACACCGGGGTTGCAGCCCCGGGGGTGGGACGGGCAGGGGGGGCGGGGAACACGAGCGGGGAACCCCGGCGGGATTGGGGGGGTTGAGGGGGGGGACCGGGAGCTGCCCCGGCCCGGGGGGGCCCCGAGGCGCTGAGGGTCGCGGTCCCCCGGGGGTCAGGAGGGGTCCCATGGGGGGGTCCCGGTCCCCTTTCCCTCCTCATCCCCAGGACTGACCCCCCCCTCAAAGAGAGACAGGGCTGAAACCTTCAGGGGAGGGGGAGCAGGACCCCAAAAAAGGGGACGGGGACCCCTGAGGGGACAAGATGCGGTTCCAAATCCCCGGACTGGGATTCCCAGGGGGGGAAATTTCAGCCCCCCCGCCAAAAGGGGTCGGGATCGGGACCCCCGGAGCACAAGATCGCCCGGGGAGGGGAGCGGAGGATTGGGGGGGGGTCCAGGGCTGAGCCCCCCCCACCCCGGGGAAGGCCCCAGGACCCCCGGGGGGGGCACGGCGGAGCCCCGGAGGTGCCGGGGTGACGTTCCCCGGGGGGGCCCCGCTGGCCGTGCCCCGGCCCTCCCCGCCCGGCCGGCGGCCAGGGTATAACGTTACCCGCGACCTTCCCGGGGGGCACCGCCAGCGCCGCGCATGGAGGAGAAAACCCCCAAAATCCCCGGTACGGGGCACAGCGGGGGGGGCCGGAACGGGGGGGGGACACCGGCGGTGACACCGAGCGGGGGAGGGGCAGGGACGCGGCGGTGACACCGGAGCGGCTGACAGGGACCCCCCCCCCACACCCAAAAAAGAGCGGGTGCCCCCTTTGCACCCCCCGAGTGAGACGGGGATAAAAGTGGGGGCAGCTGAATTTGGGGAGGGGGGGACACACGCTGAGGGGGGGAAATCCCCCCAAAGTCACCCCCGGGGGTGATTCCCCCCCCTCGGGACAGGCTTTTCTACCCCATTTTGGGCTGCAGGGGGGATTTGGGGGTGCCAAGGCAAATGGGGGGGTCTGGGGGGGGTTAAGAGCGCTGTAACCCCCCCTCAGACGCCCCCTCCCCGCAGCCTCCGTGCCGCAGTTCACCAACTGCCCCACCATGGTGATCCTGGTGGGGTTACCTGCCCGCGGCAAGACCTACATCTCCCGAAAACTCACCCGCTACCTCAACTGGATCGGCACCCCCACACGGGGTGAGTGAGGCTGGGGTGGGGAGGGGGTCCCGGGGGGTCCGGGGGTCCCCCCACCAACACGGGGTGAGTGAGGCTGCGGTGGGGAGGGGATCCCGGGGGGTCCGGGGGTCCCCTGAGCCCCCCACACCGGCACGGGGTGAGTGATTTTGGGGTGGGGAGGGGATCCCGGGGGGTTCGGGGGTCCCCTGAGCCCCCCCCGGCCCCTCCGCAGTGTTCAACGTGGGCGAATACCGCAGGGAAGCCGTGCCCAGCTACAAGAACTACGAGTTTTTCCGCCACGATAACCCCGAGGGGGTGGAAATCCGCAGGTCAGAGTTCGGGGGGGGGGGGGGGGAGGCGTTTTTTGGGGTGAATTTGGGGGGGTCCGAGCTGAGAGAGCCGCACCCCCAAACCCCAAATTCGCAGGCACTGTGCCCTGGCTGCCCTGAAGGACGTGCGCGCCTACCTGAGCTCCGAGGAGGGGCAGGTGGCGGTAAGAGCCCCCTCCCCGCCAAAAAAAATTAACATAAAAATAAAAATTCAATCATTAAAATAATTTAATTAATTAAAAATGATTAAATATCTGGGGGGGGTTTTCAAATTTCTCCCCCGACCCCCCCAAGGTGTTCGATGCCACCAACACGACGCGGGAACGCCGGGACGTGATCCTGCAGTTCGCCAAGGAAAACGGGTACAAGGTAAAACGGGGGGCGGGAGGGGCTTGGGGGGGCTTTAGGGGCTGGAAGTGCT